TACAAAATTAAAAACGATATTCTCACTTCAAAGCATTACATAGCGCACATCAAAAAGAAATATATCATTGAATTACAGAAGAGTTGTTTCCACACAACAAAAGAAATGTAGCTACAAAAATCCCGAAACACTACTTTACACAATAATAAAACAGAGCACATTTGCAAAAAATAAACAATAATAATAAAAAAACAAAAAAAAAACTGAAAGGTTTCAGATTTTAAATTACGTCTAAAGGGGCGTTTTTTTTACCATTTTGTACACTTTATTTATTAAATATGTTCTACGCACTTCAACCATAAATTTCAGGTCAAGAGCAATACCGCAAAATAATTTTAAACTGAGCATATCTTTAGATTTTCCGATACACAGTCTTACGCGCTGGAGATAAAAATGTTTTTTCTGTACAATGTTGCCATTGTTCACTTTAAAATCCTTGAGTTTGTTAATCACAAATTCGTTAAAGTTTTACGAAACATGAAATCAATAATAAAACAAATTTCAAATTTGGGCTTTCAGTTGCCCATATTCACAGTAGGATTACGTCATTGAAAATTGGATAGCCCTAGGTACCGTTGTTTTATCACAATGCGAGAAACATACATACATTTATGCAGATTCTTCGTGATTTAATTTCTTCAACTATAATACAGGTCGATAATTTTTTGGTGGCAACAATTTGAAAAGTGAAACAGACATTTAGAGTGATTCGACGCAAAATAGCAAAATGAAAACAATAGTCCCTCAGGGGCAAAGCCCCTCTGGACTAAAATTAGTAATAATGAAAAACAGTAAAATAGTAATAATAAAATTCTTATTTCAAAATTAACAAATAAAAATATTGTCTCGATTACGCAACATATAGTATTACAAGAAATAAATTGATCCTATATTACTTATAAATCGGAGTTAATGAAGAAATTAAAATTGATATCTCATAAAAGGAAATAAAAATTAATATGAAATCACCACAAAGATTAGATCAACGCATTTTACAAGTACTGCAAAATTTCCAATGCTACTGAAAGATGCTTCTTATTTCCTCGTCATTTAAATTTAAAGACAGAGTGAACAATTTTAAAGATAGCGATAATAGTAAAATGAGTTTGATGAAACTCTAAATTATTAGCTTGTTAATTATAAATCTACTTCAGGTTAGCCAATTCGCTAGCTGGCTGCCATATTCTGATCGAACTACCATGCCACAGTTTTTTGACGCGGTGAAGCGGTAAGCTGATTTCATTTTGCTTTCACTTGCATGGTGGCGACAGCTTTCCATTTTGACAGAAAGGAATTTTCTACCTTCAGTGAAAGCAGGTGCTGTTTTATTTGCATAGCGAAAACAATTAAGGTATATTTCTGTGTATAAACCTAAAACATTTAGAAGTGTTCTTTACTGCTGAAATTTATGACATCAGCTTATATACAAATTGAATACGATTTATAAATAGTTCTGCCCCAAAATAATATTTGATACCATAACAAAATTATTTCATCACATTATATATTAATCAAATTTTATAATATCTTATCCGACTTGGAGTATTCTACTTCTCAGATGCCTCTCTGCTAGACGTTAAGTTCTGCTGAAATCAACATCCTCTGTTTCAGCAGTGATATCATTGTCATTTGCCTTGTAAATCATATGATTATACTCTTTTCGTAGATGATTATGTTCAATTCATAGATGATAATGATTCAATTATGTCCTTAGCGTTATTCAGCGAAAGTAAAAACTTTCAAAACTTGCGGAAAATACAATCCTTTTTATCCAAGCATCTTTTACTTTAGAAGCAGATATTAAATGCATTTTGTTTGTAAAAGCAAATGACGCAACTAAAGAGAAAGAATCATTTAACTGCGAATGATTACCATAACTGAAAACCAAAGTTCAGCAACCTATTATCAAACCAATAAGTGATGTATGTGACCAAAAAATAGAAAGATAAACTACTGGCATGAAAATTACCATTTCATTTGCTATGTTCTCATACCTCAAGCTAAGCTAGACGACAAATTTTGTATTCTTGGTGCGATTTACATAACAGACATTCACAGATATAAATATAACATAAAAAGTATGAAAATCAAAATGGTAACTTTGTAGTCAACTCTAAATCTTTCTTTCAAAATGGATACTTCTCCTTGCCATCCTAAAAATAGTACCCGCTCATCGTTCTAAGCTGCGTCATTTCAAAATTAAGATATTCTTATATTAACTCAAGTGATGCAGATAATTGAAACTCAAATTAACTAATCAGAACGAAAGAAAATCACACTTTACCAAGCTTTCATCTGAGAATATGTCGCAGTTAGCTTTTTCACTTCGTTAGTGCCAACTTGCTGCTGTCACTGCTTCAAACGTATTTAAAAATTCTATATACAGTACCGATGCAGTTTTTTAAGAAAAAGCTTTACTGTGCCACTTAGATTAGTTGATTTAAAGATGTTTGCCAATTAGAATAAAAAGCAATATTTAAATCGGCCATCACTGTGAGCTTCTTCCTTATATCTACTATCCCTTCAAAGTTTCTAAAATATTTCATAAATTTGGATCTACAGGACCGATTTTAAATTCGGCTTACTCAAGAAATTTTTAATTTTGCAGAAAATGTTTGCAACAAAATATTACCTCTTGGTTTATCCATAGCTCTTTTTATAATCGGAAATAAAATCTACATGACTTTGAGGTTTTACGTAATACTTCAACTATGCTAATTTCGGAAAAGCATAATTACTTCTTTCAGTTTAAATCAACATGTTTTGGAATATAAGAAACATGAGTTTATTTAATTTGCCGTGGTTTCGAATTTACTCTTTCTTGGAAGCAATGCATGATACTTTATTCATATTTATCGGTATATAAAACTTCATAAGTAGCCGCACGGTTGAGATATCTAAGAGTTTGATCTGGGTTCGATTTTGGGCGAACAGGCTGGCTGAAAGAGCCGGTTTGTTTTCCGTGGTTTTCCCTATGTGTATGGTGAATACTAGCCACTCTCTCTTAAAATGTTCTTCACAAAGGCATTTATTCCTTTAGCCAAAAAGACCTCGCATCCTCTGCCGTATTCAAATAACGTTAACCTCAGACTTACAGTTTTCAACAATGTACAGCCCCTAAGCTTTGATTAAAAGAAGGGTATTTATCACCACTAGAAATTTTTCAAACGATTTCGTTTTTATTTCGGATTAGAAACTCATTCTGAAAGGAAATTAATAAATTCCATACCCTCTGTTACTTTCTCACCATCATGAAGTGCTTAATTTTCTTCTGCATGAGTTGCTCGAGTGCTTCGAAAGGATTCAAGAGTACTAGATTACGATCATTAAAATCTCATAAAATGTAACCTAATTGAGATTAAAATTAGTTTTAGAAAAGTATCCTTTAGAAAAACAAACTATTTTTACGTTTTATAATGACTGCGGGAAATATAAGACGTTAATACGAATTTGCCCATATTTTTTTTTAAATTCTGTAATATTTTAGAAATATTTACAGAATTTATATTTTCACTTAACTGTATACTTTCGCATTAATAGGAAATACTTTCTCCAAAAAAAAAAAAAAAAAAAAAAAAAAAAGTTAAAGATAGTGTTGCATTTTTTTACATTCCGTCCTTTCAGCATCAATGAGATTACGATAGTTATTTATCATGAGAAAGCACTTGTCCATGAGAATGTTTTCTTTAAAGGGGAATTTCTAAAGAAAACAGACTCATATTCATTCATTGGAACAACATATTCTCTCAACCAGCAGGATCAAATTTGAGGTGGTGTGGTTTGGTTTATTTAATTACGGCAAAGCATATTAGGGCTGTCTACCTAAGGGAAGGGAGGCCTCCGTGGAGGACTTTCTAAGGGAAACTGGCTCGTGTACACGTCGCACATTCGATTCGAACCTCGGACCGAACTACAAGTGTTCAGCGACTTTACCACTTGGCCTCCGGTGGGCCCAATCTGAAGTGAACTTCAACTTCATCTTACAAATATATCGCTTCAACTATTACACAAACGTGTAATTTTGACGGCTCTTTGAGAATTAATCCCTGAGGCGCATGACAGTAAGAATTTCCTGGCGTGGTAATCTCACTAAGGAGAAAACGGAGGTAAGGAGAAGAAAAGGGGGGAGGCCATGAAGCCTGAAATCAGAGAAACGATCTAAGAGATGAAAAATTTGGATCTGATTGTACTGTTGAGGTCGACGAGACAATGCAAAGTGTTGCAGCGAAGTTACAATTTATAATGCTAATAATGAATACAATAATGCACTTACATGAAATAATGATACAAAATATGAAAAAGAAACAATGTAAAACTATGTACTCTATATACAATATATAAAAAATTCCCCCCGTGTAAGCAATGTTTAAGTAAAGGTGAACTACCGAATTTCCAGTGCTTTATCTAATAGGTCTCGGGTGAAAACTTAGTATAATGTCTACATCGTCCGGAGAGCAAAATTCTCACTGATTATGAAATAGATATAAACACAAGTAAAAACCAAATTGTTCACTAAATTTTGCGTAAATTTTCATTTTTAATTGGTCTTTCTTTCAAAAAGAATTTTAATTTATTTCCTATAAATTACAATATATTCTAAAACTCGGGCAAAAGCTCACTTGGACCATGCAAGTAAAACAACGAGTTTAAAGGCAAACTGTAATTAAGGTGCACAACACTTACTCGTACACGATACTTTAAGGAAATTTCTGTATTTTACAAATTTAATAAGCAGATTTAAACTGCCTGTGTTCTTACAAGAGTTTTTTAATTTAACAATTCTAGAACATGTTCGTTAATAATAAAAATAATATTTTAGCATGAATACTTTGAATATAGTACTAAAACTGTGGCAGCACATTTACTAAAGAAGAAATGGAATAATGATTACATTAAGATGAATATCTTGTAATCTGAGAATTAAAAGTACTTTTTTTGGATCCCTGATCCTTTTTCATGTGTTATTTTGTTTATCTTAATTTCAAACATTAACACTTTACCTGTGGATACATGCTCCTTAAGCAGTTCAAAACTTCGGTACTTCTCTGTTTCAACCTCCATGGAATGAGTCTCAGAATGAAGATAGCTATCAAAAGTACTATACCAAAGTATACCTGAAAGAAATAAAGTTTAAAGGGGATTTTGTCTTGCATATTAGATTTTCCACGTAACTAACAGAGCTGGCACATTAAATATCGGGATTACACATTCCTTTTTTCCGGGCATTTGACACATTCCTTTTTTAACAGGAAAATGTCCGCTATCAGTGTACAATAACTTAACAGTCAGAAATTGCTTATATGAGAGTCTCATCTCAAAAAGAATTAGTTATCACTACGGTTTTTGTGAAAAAGGATAGAATGAATGATATGAGTGATTTTGAAATTGGCATGATCGTGAATCCATGATCAGGAGGTAAGAAAACTCAGTTCAGGCATCTCTGAAATGGCTTTGTTTTAGTTTTTCTCATGCAACACTATATGGAGGGTTGAGAGAGTGGCAGTTGAGCAAACCCATTTCTGGCAATAAGAACAATTGCATCGGAAAGTACTGCTGAAGATGTGAAAAGCTGCTGCTACGAATCAGCCGCATCAACAGAAGGGCAAGAACAAGACAAATTACAGCTAGCACAGTACCATTCCAGTGCATTATAAAAGGAATCCGAACGCAATACACGAAGAAACTTGCAACTGATGAATTTTATCAGCAGGAAATAGCTAAGAGTACCTATTCTACCACCGAAAATAGGAAACCGCAGTTGCTAGTGTCCGGAGTTTTCTTCATTGATGCTTTTGCTTCAGATTCTCAGTTATAACTAAGAGATCAAACAGATTGGATAATTGCGAGTAGCCTGAGGAATGGAGGAAAAAGTGATTCGTAACTTTGTCTGCCTCGTCAGCGGTAATATTTCAGGCAAGTGGCCCCTGAGGACAATTTAGACAATTAGGAAGAAATTGTGGATTTAGATTTTATGCGGTGGCAGTGGTCATCAGAGAATGAGGTTCGAGCTAAACACAGGATAAAGGGTAACAATTTAATTTCTCTACAAACATATTTTTTGAAGAATGTTGTGAGTGAACTAAAACGCTCACCAAAACGCTGTAGAAACCTTAGTTCTAAACATTTCCGCAGGAGGACCAGCCTCTTCGGAGAAAATTCAGATGTGGCTTAAGAATAACTTTCTTGTCCATGTTGCATCTGATATATGATCTGATTGCAATTCTGTATGGTTTTGTGGCTGTGTGCAGTTCTGTATGGCTATGTGTGACGCAGCTGAAAGGATTATTGGTAATACTGCCCTTAACAGTAATACTTAGCTGTAGAAGAGAATCTGTCACGTAAATCGAGATTTATCTCATTGAGATATAAAATGCAGCTGTTCTAGTTTCCGAGGTTATCTGTTATCTGCGATTAATGATGAAGTTGGCTTCTTTGAATACATTCCATCTATAAAGCATTATTTTGCTCTTGCTACTAGAATTTTAATAAATGCTTCATATTAAACCGTCTGAATATGTTTTCCTTCACTGGCTATTCCATCCCAGTTCTGCTCGCACATCTTGTATTGCTACTCGAAAGTAACAAAATTAGCTTTATCATAGCTACTAAGTAACCAACCGAAATTGTGAAAAGAGTCCTTTTAAGTAACGATACGGTCCTAGGAAGAATCGATGAGATGGTTGAAAATTCTATATGTAACAACATCCAGAAGAGAAACATCTGACTGAATGCTTATGCAGCTCACTTTATTTCATGATTAGAGCATCGAATAAAACTGGAGCTAATTATTGAATGACAGAAAGTTAAGATAATTATGTATTGAAAATGATGTTATTTCCAGTCATCTGCTTCATAAGACGTAAGTTCGTTTGCTACTGAGGGGAACACCATTCAGCGGTTTTTCTAAACTTTTCAACTGAGTGTCACAGTTTTTGGAAGACAAAGAAGATTTAGGAAGACTTGATAAATTCAAAACAATATGTAGCTTATCTGGCATATTTATCCAATACATTAAATGAATCCAACCTTCAACTGCAGGGGACTTCCACGAAGTCAACCCTCCCCTCAAGCCTTCGACGCTTTGCCATAATCACATAAACCAAACCAAACCAAAAACAACTGCAGGGTGATGATTTTGAATCTAATGAAACCTAAAAGTATGATCTCTACATTTTTGGTAAACTTGAGAAAACGTTTAATCAAAATATTTTGATGGGGAAGATATCAATATTTTGAAGATAATATCAAGATATATTGACGATATTGTTAACTTGTGACGGTGAAAATATAAGTGTAAAAGTGACAGGGAAAGAAGTGGAATATTTACGTTTGTGGGAAAGTTCAGAAAGCGTTGAATCAAGATGTGAAGAAAAGAAACTAACTCTACTTTTATGCCGTCAGAGCTGAAATTTCAGTTTGTATTTGGACATCAATATTTTTGGTTGAAGAAGCAAATATCCAGGCTTTAACCTTATTTATCTAAATTTGCGCAGAAATTTCTCAAAGCATTCCCTTCGTTTTAATTGCTGAAGCGTGGGTTAAATGAAGGGGCACTTCCAATAATTCAAAAAAGAAATCAACTGCAGATAGGTAATCTCGGATATTAGAAAATTCTGATATAAAAATGGAGCAGAATACTTGAAAGCTGGTAGAAGCTCATCCTCCTCTTTGAACTTATTTGCTATTTGTTTAGATCGAATTCTCATCCTTTATAATTTGTACTTTGTTAATTTAGAATACATATTTAAAAGCCATTTTCCCATTCTGTCCTGCCTTTATCAATGACAACGATTGTTGCAGAATAGAGTGAAGTACTTTAATTTTCTAAAATATTCTAATTCCCTCTTTTAGTTTTTTATTTCCCTTTACGAGTTAAAGGAAGTATTGCAATCGCGAAAAATTTCAGGTTTCGTATTTCAAAGAAAATATACTCTTTCACACTCTTGAATCTATTTCAAAAATGTTTTTGCGTGACATCTGTTGTTCGCGCCTTATGTAAATTTTGATTTTGTTCCCTGCAAGAGGGCGCCTGCGAGCGCCGAACTACTTGTATATCTATTGTACGAACTTGTTCTTCACACAGTCTAATAAACGCAGTAACGAACGTTTGTGTCTACTTTCCATCCGCTAACATGGTCCGTCGAGCCGGAGCATTTCTTTGGATGATGTGTCAAGACAATTTTTAACGTTTTGGTATAGGGGACATTTCGTGCAGGGAAAACGGATTTATATTTTGTCTGGATTATGAAAACAGCAGCAGGAATGTGGAGTCGATTTTAAAGCAAAAGCGAATTTTATTAAGGGTAAGTTGACTCGTTTAATTTCACAAGTAAATAGTTTACAAAATCAAGAAAATTCTTTTTCTGCCATTGAAGTGTACGAAAATGATGTTGGTGCATTAAGTGTTGAAGTGAACTGTTTAAACGATAACATTCTTGGTACTTGTTCTGACGCAGAGTTTAGTAAATATGAAATAGAAATGCATGAATTATTTTCCAAATTAGATGTATTAAAAATTACTTTAAAGGAAGAATCAAGAAAACTTAGTAATTCAGGCAAAGATATAATAAATGCTAATGCAAACGGCTTGAAACTTCCTCGCGTGGAATTGCCAGTGTTTACTTCTAATTATGTTGATTGGATATCATTTAGGGATTTATTTCTTGCCAGTGTTGGAAATAATAGTATATTAAGTGACAGTCAAAAATTGCAATATCTTAAGCTTTCTGTGAAAGGTGAAGCTGCTGTTTTACTACAATCAGTTCAAATTTCAAACGCGAATTATGAAAAGGCATGGGAAGCGCTTACTGAACGTTATGAAAACGAAATGGAAATAATAAACGCAGCATTAAATAAATTAACTTCACAGCCTGTTCTAAAACATGAATCAGCTTCAGGTTTGCGGAGATTAATTGATACAACACAACAGTGTATTGATACATTAAAAACCTTAACCAGCCGGTAGAGCATTGGGATACTATGATTATTTTTCTGTTAAAAGGAAAACTTGATCATGAAACACTAAAAGAGTGGACGATGGAGCATTCGAACAAGAAAATTTCTGCCTTCGCTGAATTCAAGCGTTTTATTTTAAACAGAGCGAATGCTATTGACTCTTTGGCGAAGTGCCAGAGGGAGAAGGCAGTTTTGCCTTCTGAAATTAAAACTCGCAGTTCAGGTAGCAAATACGCTTTTTCGTCCCAACTTGTGGCTAATGTGTGCGTTCATTGTAAGAGTAATTCTCATTCTCAGTTATTTAAATGTGATAGTTTTTTAGAACTCCTTATCAAAAAAAATGGGATATTATTAAAAGGAATAAGTTATGTGCTAATTGTTTGAAAGATAGTAAAACGCATCCTATTTTTAAATGTCGTGCAGGAATGTGTAAATATTGTTCAAAGCCACATAATACAGTGTTATGTTCGAAAAATTCAAATGATGAAAAATGTCATATACCCATGGAACACGGAACTTCTGCTATTAGTAGCAATAACGCCACGGTGCCTGTTGCGCAAGCAGTTTTATTGCCTACTGCGATTGTTTATGTTAAAGATATTAATGGCGATTTACAAAAATGCAGAATGCTAATTGATTCAGGTAGCCAGGGCTCATTTATTCGAGAGCACTGTGTAAATTTACTGCAGTTAAAGCGCACTAGTGCAAACATAAGTGTAAATGGACTGAGCTCGCAAAAAATTGGAAAGGTTTCAGGTTCAGTTCAATTACATCTCCATTTTATAAAAACGCAAGCATTTCAGTTAATGCATTAATTATACCCAAGATCACGTGTGATCTTCCTCAATATCAAGTTGATAGATCTGTTTTGACATCTTTCAAACATTTGTGGTTGGCAGATACAAATTGTTTCCAGCCTGGCCCAATAGATATTCTTTTGGGCGCAGATGTATTTGGCGAGATAATGCTTCATGGACGTTTAACTGTTCCGGGTCATTCGTTAACAGCCTTGGAATCAATATTCGGCTGGGTCATTATCGGAAAGACTAAAAGTGTATCGCAGACAATTGTATCGAATCATGCTAGTTGTACCAATGTTCAGCTCCAGCTTGAAAAATTTTGGAAATTGGAAGAAATTTCGGAGATAAAGCATTACACA